ATCTGTTAGAGGTGACCACACCCTATACTAGCCACATTTTCACTGTCATCTTTCAATATCAAGCTTGGATAACATTGGACACTTGGCCATAAGTCATGATAACGAATAGCATTTTCATTGTTGTTTTGTCCACAATATCATCATACAATTAGCTAGATATCCATACTTAATTTCATTTATTTCTATCCACTATTTCTCAAGATATTTGGGAAAAAATGTTCCATCTAGCTTTGTACAACAGTGTATTTATTTATATCAATGATTAATAATTAATAAATTGGAAAACTTTTGTTTAGACCTCCCAAAATTGCTTTGTTGAAATGAATTATACTAATCAGATGTAACTCTTTGCTAACAGTAAAAGTACTTTGTTTAATGTTTTACAAAGAATGTTTGTGAAGGAACAATTTGTTCAGTAATAGAACAGTTTCAACCTTTACTTAGTACAAAAGAAAAATTTTAAGTAATGAATTCAACAATGCATAAAGTTCTATAATTGTGCAAAATGCTTAATGTCATGTTCTAACTTACTAAAAGATTACACTTCTAAATTTTTTTTTGGAAGGGAAGGGAGAGATATATGGTTATGATATTTGCAAAGTAATATAAAACTTATCTCTTGCGAATAGTCTATTTGATTTAGGCATTTAAAATTGAAATCTTAATTTTTCAATCTCAATTTTAATCACTGTCAAATTCGCTATTCAAACAAAATTTCCATGTTAACAAAAAGTGAAATTTGATACTGACAAGCCTGATGTGCTATCAATTTGTGATTGACAAAAAAGAAAAAAAAAAAAAAGTAACTTCCCTACCAATAGCAGGAAATATTACAGAACGAAATATTAAACATTTTAAATGAAATACTGGAATCTCAGATTTGCTAGAATCAACCAAAACACACTGGATAGACTATATGGTATATTTTGGGATGATAAAATGAGTATAATACAGCAAAAATAAGGTATATAAATTCAAATAACTTTCAGATTTTAATCAATCAATTTAAAATCAGTTTTGAAAATATTTCAAGAGATTTTTCAAAAGTTCAAAGTGACTTTGACATCAGATTCCATAAGAGCGCATTAGGGCACAACATATATATATGAAATTTAGAATCAGTTTCCAAAATACTTCATAAGGCTCTTTAAAAGTTTAAAGTGGCTTTAGTTTCAGATTTCATAACAGCTTTTTAGGATACAACATATCTATTTCTCTATATTTTTAAAAATAAGTACAGTCAAAAGTCGTTAATCCGGACTCATCGGGACTTCGGTGATTCCGGATTATCAATCATCAGTTTAAATCTGGTAAGATGGCATGCAGAAATTATAAAATTAAAAATATGAAACTGTAATTTATGAAATAAAGAACAATTATGATCTAAAGGGTGTCAAAATTTACAAAAAAAAAAAAAAAAAAAAAAAGCTTGATATTTATTTGCTTACTCTATTAAACATTTCTTTCAATGTAAGTTGTTTAAGTTGCTTCATTTTATGTGATAATACTTTCTCTTTAATTCTATAAACAGACACAATTTCTTGTTCAGTTACAAAGTTCCGCTGTTCAAGTCTCGTTAATTGTTGTGCCGAGAATACCGACTAATTTGTCAATCGAAATTTTTTCGTTTTCAATAACCTCTGTTACTTTCTTCGCTATCGGAAGTGAATTATAACGACGAGGAATTTGATTTAAATCATATCAAAGACGGAGTACATCGAGATGAAATACTACATTTAGTAAGGAATTATAAGCCAAATAAAATAAAAACATCTGCCCAGAAGATAAGGATAGTGCTGACAGATCAACTTCCAATTCATTGCGCGCCCCGGCGTTAAAGATAAACAAACGTTAAAGTTTAGATAAACAAAGGATATGCCTTTATCCATTTTTTGCAGCAATTCCACTTTTTGTTTAATGGATTTCGAAACATACTTTCGTTTTGTAGATCCTTTACATGTTAGTAAATATATATCAGAAATTCTATTTGACATAATCGAAATTCAAGCTTACTTTTATAAAATTGCTCTAACAGTCTGCAAAAAATAATAAGCCGGATCCACTTCGAAGATTAAGGATCAACGCAATCTGCAACATTAATTGAAATATATAATTAGATAATTTTAGCTTAGCTTATACCATCCGTTATACATTAAACGCGCATGCATACACGTATATTCGCAGCAGTAAAGGTCTTACGCGCACGCGTAAACGCCTATGCGACTGCGTGAACGCGACGCATGCGCAGAAAGTTTTTAGCTTTGAGGTGCGTATTATAGATCATTCCGGATTATGGGTGTCCGAATAAACGACTTTTGACTGTATTGAACTTATATTTTTGATCTTCAAGTACACTGACAGTAGCAGATCTCCGATCAATATCAGATACCCAGCATTTAAAAGCAACAGATTACAACAACAAATCATAAAAAACAAAGAAGATTCACCTGACTTAAAAGCCAATAATAATTTAATGGCTAAAATATTCAAGTTTTTACTATGTTTTTGAAAAATTGTATCAGTTAATTTAATTTTGAATTTAAAATTTTATTGATTTAATACCAGGTTCTCTTTGATTTGTTTCCTTCCTATACTGCATATCAGTCGATGCCAAAGTACAGTAAATATCTCAATAATAAAGTGTAAGAAATAATGTAAAAATGAAATTGTTAATAGCATAATATTAATCCTACATAAAATGATAAATAGCAATACAAATAGAAATTAGTTATTATGAATTATTATATTATAAATTTAATACTAGACATACATTCTAAGATAGTGGTCTCAAACTCAAACTACATGCACAACGAATAACTGATCTGAAAACAGCTGACAGGCCAAAAATTCTTTTTTTTTTTTTTTTTTTTAAGCAAAATGAATTTTTTTTTCTTTAAAAAATAACTAAATTCTGCTGGATAAATATTTATCAAATCATACATAAGCAATAATAAAAATAATGAAAAGGAAAAAAAAAATGAATTTATATTTATTTTCCATCTGAAATCTAAAAGTTAATACTAGTTGCAAAGTAGCTGGGAAAAAAAAAAAAGTAGTTGCAAAACATTTTTGTTGATTATACTTTGTATTCAAACATATTGACTGTTAAATATTAATATTTCAGAGTTATATTTTTTCAATTTATCAGACAGGTTTAATTAACCATTAAATAACTCACTTTAAATTAAAAATAAACAAAATAAGACATTTTTCCAAATGGGACAAACTTGAGAAAAAACAAAGACTACTTAATCTCTATCATTTAAGAAATTTTTCTTTGGCATATAAATTAAAATGCACATGATTGTACATACATAGTTATAAATTTTGTATGTAAATACAAAATTTGCTTGTATAATGTCCTTGCAATTTGGGGAAAAAAAAAAAAAAAAAAATACTAGAAATTAGATTCATCCCGGATTGTAGATGCTCACTGGACAATCAAGTTCTCTTTTTACTAATTTTCAACTGTTAAAAAAAAAAGGTTGTTCAAATATAAATGTATTCCCAAAGAAAGTGATTACTTTTAGTGCAAAAATTCGCAACTGACTACAATTAGTTTTAATGATTAAAATTAATCAAATGCATACCTTCGAAAATTTGGATAAGATTTATAGCATACTGTAAATTAATTAACTCGATCTATACATTTCATGATGTATTGTTTATGCTAGTTTTTAACGGTAATAAAAATAATGTAAATTTAGAAAATTATTAAAATTTTGAAATTTCTGCAATACTGTAACATAATACATCATTGAAATGTATTCATGGGCCGCAAGTTTCAGACCCTGTTATAAATGGATTTTTATGCTCAATAACCTATTTTTATACTTTGTATCTTTATTATAACTTCTCCTTTTTAAAAACCCTCACTCGGATGCAAATGAGATTAGTTAAAACTAATGGCGAGGGTTTTAAATGCAGACCTTTTGACTGTACCTAAAATTATGTATTGTCTATATACTGATTATGTATTGAGTCTTGCAGCTTTACTTTCTATTGCCCACCTCTGCCAGTTAATATTCTTGGATTAAACATTTGCTAAACAAAGTTAAATCCTGTCATTAAAGTTTAAGCCAGCATAGTTAGGCCAAATTGTGTAGTCTCAGGCTACAAATCCATTTTAGATTGTATTTTTGACTCTCTACTTAATATTTGCAAATGGCAGAGTTTGACTGTATGCACAAGTTCCCATGGCATTCCCCCTCAAAATTATGATGGAACTGCATGGTAAGTACAGCAGGACTATACTTAACTCTGGCGTCCCACACACTTCTGCTTGTACCTGTAAGCTTCTGCCTTCTGATAAATTCAATTTTAATAAAAACCTTTTTTAAAATTTTCATAGGACTTTGCAGTATTTATACAGACAAGATGATAACTCACTTGGGAGTCTACTAGAATATGAAAGATAGTTAACTTAGTATTAGACGATTAAGATTTTATAATGTGATACATAGTAAACAACACATAAGAATTACATTCTTTCTTCTCCCATTGCTATCAATGATTATCTACATTTATGGCCAAACATAAAACTTACAACACAACTACAAACTGAAATTCAGCATTAATTTTTCTTATTAATTTACCACATGTGAAAACTATGCAAATATTCACAAACTGCAACATATAAAAATATAGCAAGTTAATTTAAATAACTATCACTTATCAAAATGTCAGAAAACAGAGAATTTCCAGAAAATTTATTCTTAAGGAAAATTAATTATTTAACAAGTGACACATTGCTGTCACCACACTAAAACCACAAATCTGCATAATCTCTCCTCCAAGACATAAAAATTTATTAAATTGTTTTTGCTGAAAGAACCCAATAAAAACTTTCATATGATAAACTTTTGTTTCACTTTTTGGCTAAAAGTAAAAACAGCAAAAAAACTACAAAATTTATTTACTAAAATCAACAATTATGCAGATGTGTTGTTTTGGCATGAAACCAACAAATGCATAACCATTATAAATTCATGACAACTTACACAGCTACCAGCTAATATTTCACCCCATAATGGGATTTCACCTTTAGAATTTGTTAATTTATCACGAACCAGGTCATTCATCTAAAGGGGGGAAGAAAAAAAAAAGAATTCTGGTTATTAAAAATATTCAAATGAAACATTTTCAAATAAGGAAAAATATTTTAAAAAATTTAATCGAAACTCACGGTCAGTTTTATTGCTTTTTCTGGACAAACACCTACTAACTGTGGTATTAAACCTCTATACAGTCCAGTGAAACCTTCATGACGAATTACTTTTTTTGCACAATCAAAACTATTTCTATACATAAGTTCTCCAATATAGGATCCTGTCCTTTGATTCTGCATTCTTGTTTTTACAAGATCTATAGGATACACAACAGTAGCACCAGCAGCTAGAAATTAAAACAGAAAGAGTTGTTTATATATAAATGGAAAATATAAAATTAATATCACTATTGATATTCTGTTTACTCAGTTACGTCAAATATAAACACAGAATATTGATTGCACTCAAGAATTCCGTTGTAAATCTTGAGATTTCACTTATCTAAAATCCCAAGAAATTTCCTTTTCATTTCAGGATTTCCCAATCCTTTAGAAAATCCATATAGTTCAAACAGGTATATTCTTAGATTCACATGTCCAGCCAAAAATTACAAGAAATATGTTATTGGCTTCAGTAACATGCAGTAATTTGCTTGCATGTATATACAGAACCCTAACTTGAGTTTCAGTTACAGTGAAAAATTTACAAATTAGCATAAACTTAGAAACACAAAAATCAGTATTGCTATGCCATTTGTCCTTCTCCATGACTAATTCTACTAAAATGTACAATTAGCATAATATGTAACATTGAATGACATTTGCTTATAATACAGTCAAAAGTCGTTAATTCGGACCTCAAAGCTAAAAACTTTCTGCGCATGCGCCGCGTTGACACATGCGCATAGACATTTACACGTGCGCTTAAGATCTTTACGACTGCGCATATGCGTGTGCGCAAGTGCAGAATACGTTTTCGCGTGTGCGTTTAATGTATAACATACGGCATAAGCTAAAATTATCTAATTATCTATTTCTGTTAATGTTGATGAGTGCATTGTTCCTTAATCTTCGAATTGGATGCGGCTCATTATTTTTTGCTGACTGTAAGAGCAATTTTATAAAAGTAAACTTGAACTTTCGATTATGTCAAATAGAATTTCCGATGCTGGAGTTCCCAAAGGATCTACAAAACGAAAGTATGTTTCGATGTCCGTCAAACAAAAAGTGAAATTGCTGCAAAAAATGGATAAAGACATGTAGAAGGTGACAGAGAGGTTAGTGAAAATGAAAAAATTTCGATTGACAAGTTAGTCGGTATTCCCGACACAGTAATTACGGGACTTGAACAGCGGAACTTTGTAACTGAACAAGAAATTATGTCTGTTTATAGAATTAAAGAGAAAGTATTATCACATAAAACAAAGCAACTTAAACAACTTACATTGAAAGAAATGTTTAATAAAGTAAACAAATAAATATGAAGCTTTTTTTTTTTTTTTTTTTTTTTTTGGTAAATTTTGATACCCTTTAGATCATAATTTTTCTTTATTTCATAAATTATGGTTTCATATTTTTAATTTTAGAATTTTCTGCATGCCATCTTACCGAGATTTAAACTGATTGATCTATAATCCGGAAAAATCAATAATCCGGAATCGCCGAAGTCCCGACGAGTCCGGATTAACGACTTTTGACTGTATTACTATTTACATTAGATAGTAGTTTAATAATACTACATTATATTTAATTTGATGGAGAAATTTTATTTACCCAATTAAAAGTATGCATACTTTAAACAGTCACAAATATATTTTATTAAACATTAATACCATTTTACTTAATTATTTCATGTATTAAACATACAGACAGTTACAACAAATATAAAAAGAGGGGTCAATGGAAGAGACACAGATTCTGAGCTAAAGTTGATTTTATTTCAAAATTTTAATCCATTCTAGAGACTTGCACACATTTTTTGAAAGAAATAGCTACAAAGAAGATCAAATTCCTTAAAGAAGGATTTCACTTTTACTTCAATTTTTATTGTAGAGCTTGCTTAACTTCTTAACATAAAAATAAAAAGAAACTAAAAGCAAGATTTTCAGCATCAAATTAATAAAAGTCAAAGGCATAGATGATTTAAAAATATTTTCCATCCTTAAGTTAGACACAATATATTTCGTTAATATTAATTATTAAAATTAGTAGAATCTTTTTTATGCAACAGTTGAAACTTTCCTGGAATGATATACATATAAAAATACAAAAAATTACACATTTACATCATTCATTAGACAATTTATTAACTATTAAATCAGAAGTTCTTGTTAGCCAAAGGACTATTAGTTTCGAAAAGGCATTTTGCATTTGTTTCACTATAAATGTCCATTTCACTTATCAAATTGTTGCCAACAAATATTATTGCCTTGCATTATATTTAAAGAAATTTAAAAATGAAGAATATGCATGAAATGTATATGTTTTTCTCAATTTGTGGAAAAATAACAGTACCTAGAACCACCAAATATTGAATAAAGTCCACCCGACCATGGGCACCCGGACACCCATACTTCGAATTTGTTTTATTATCTAATTTCATAGTTTGTAGAACTTTAACGAATTTTTGATTAACAAACTTAATGATTTCAAGCAAGAAGACTATACAGAAAATAACATTTTTATTTCCAGGGTGCAAGACTGTCTAATGGAAATTCTAAAGATATGCTGTCTTTAAATATTTTGTGATATTGCTGTTGAATTGAATTTTATGTGGTTTAAGTATGAAGAACATAATAAATAAAGGTAACACATAAAACATTAAAAAAAATGTCCCTGTGGGCATAATATAAAATCTGAAAGTTTTCAAATTTATTTATTATTTTTTTATTCCATTATAATTCACAGTTAAGAAGAAAAAGCATTACACTTGTTATTTCAACGTATCAAATGACGGAGTTGCAATAAATACAGATCACCAAATCCACGTACAACAAACTTAAAAAATTTTAAACCTCTCTATATATGCAATTGAACCATTTACAATGAATGAACTTTCCGGTCCCTTCCAGTTTTCTATGCACTTAAAACTATTTTACACTGCTCCAGCAAATCTCTAAAGGTATGAGAATCGGATATAACACACTGTATCAATACTTTCAATTGGAACTTTCTTTGCAGTTTTCATTTCCCCCCCCCAAAAAAAAACTTCTGCAAATTTTAGGGAAAAAATTACAATTAAAATCATTCATCTTTAATATAGATTTTTTTTTTCTTTAATTGTTCATCTTTAGGATTCCCATTCCTTCCATAAAGGAAAACATCTTTATGCTATTTTTCTTTTACTTTTCTTTTACTTTCTTTTACTACCTCTCATTTTTTTTTTTTTTTTTTTTTATGTGTTTAAAGAAAGGAAATGCAAAACAGGTGTGACACTCAATTCAAGGAGAATTAGGATGCCCTAACCGTACATTAGGACAACCATATAGGTATGTGAATGGGTTCTCTGATTCTATTTAAATTCTTTGACAGAGCTCCATGACAGAACTCTATTCAATGCTGATGCTATGACAGAAATTTTGCTATTCATAAAATAGGAAGTAGTGAACCTCATAAGATTCAATACTTCTGTTTTTACAGTGGATTCTTCTTTTAAAGAATGAAAAGTTTTGATGCTTTCTTTTTTCTTTATTATTATTATTGGTGGTGGTGGTGGTGGTTGTTTGCATATAAATGCTTTCCATATTCTATCCTCCAAGCATGGATTTTTCATTCTTAGGTCATTTACTAGGCATGAGTTGTGTTAAGTCTGTATTTATTTTTGGAAATAAGGAATCACAAATGTTAATGAATATGTTTTAAAAGCAGGATAAAAGTAAGTGTAATGAAAAATATTTTAAAAAATGTGAAAGAGAATGATGGTTCGTACAATGTTTCAAAAAGTTAAAATAGTCATTAGTAGTTAGTACATCAGAGACAAAGTTTTGAGTATATCTCATAAAGTATTAGTACCACAAAAAGAATGAAATGTAATGTTACAATTAAACTGTATAGAATGAACATTGTACATACTGTTTTTTAAGTCGATTTAAACGTACAGAAAATATTATCCCTGAAGCCTGCACAGTAAAATAATATGCAAGAAAATACCAATTTAAATTTTGTAGACAGAGAAATATATGTACGTTTGGAGAAATGGAAATGGAACATCAATAAGTATTTTAAACAAGGGAACATATTAAGTGTAAACTAAAAATGTGTCAAGGAAAAAAATTTGTAAAGTCTAAAATTTACATTTTTAATACCTAAGCAGAAAAAATTTGAAAAGAAAAATGATTTTTGAAGTAAATGATAGTAAGTAGGGGAGGGGGGGGAACTAAAACTGTGTTTGTAAAAACAGAAAGTGGGGAAAAAAAAAAAAAAAAAAAAAAAAAAAAGAAGAATTAAAATTAAACATATATATTACTTTCGTAGAATAAAAAGGGAAAAGGAAAAACGGAACTCATAAAACTAAATATTACTTTGGTAAAAGAAAAAGTTAAACATAAAATAAATTTTAAAGTAAAAAAAAGACTTAAAAAAGGTAAATAAAAAAAGTGAACAGAAATGTAAAAAATGAATTTTAAAAATAAAAACGTAGAAACATTTATTTGTAAAAATTAAAGTAAAATTTACATTTGCAAAATGTATAAACACAGGACGAAAAATTAATAAATGAAATTAAGTTAGAATGTGAAGAAAAAAGAAAACACTAAAAAAATATGCTTGTTTTAAAAAAAAGGGGAAATTTTAAAAAAGAATAAATTGAAAGTAATGATTTAGAAAGCCAAAATAAATCTTTGTCCACTTCAAGAAACAAGTGCAGTGATTGGTTGAAACAGGAAGGGTATTCTTAGCGAAAATTTGATTAGTTCCTACAACTGCGTTCTTTTACTATCGAAAGATGTGAAGCAATTTCAAATGGCATGCAATAGTTTGGGCAGGTTGGAACAGGCTTGAGCAAGTACAATCCTTCAGCCTAGTGACACCATGGTATTTTTTCTTGGACAATGTTAAGTAACAGAATTTAAGGGACAAATCATGGCCTTGGGATATTGTGTGCCTCCCATGCCTAAGGTGGCAATTCTGATGCCAGCTGTGGGGATCTTTTTAAAACTCATGTAATTACATCAATTTATTCAGTAAAAGTTACTGTATTTTATACAAATCATAGAATCAATTAAAAATAATGACAGATTAAATAATTAAAAATTCAAAAAATCATTGCCACAAAAATAAAAACTTTGAAAAATATTGTCATTGCTAGCTAACATAAAAATAAAAGTGTATTAAATAATGTCATTCAAACCGTCTATGTCATTTCCATTTGTCATGCGAATCCAAGATGACAAAGGTGCACCCATTCCCAAAAAGAAAAGAGGACACTTAATATGGGGAAGATAACTGAAAATTAAAAAATGCAGCTTGAAATTATAAGTGCGCATTATATGCCAGAATGTATGTTACATTAAATTTTTCACAATGGAATTTCTGCTACTGAAATGATGAGTCTTTGAATGGCATGTATGTGAAAGAAAGGCAAAGAATTTGGATGGAAGAGGAAACATGGTGTAGATCATCATCTTCAACTAACAAACAAACAACACCTTGACCAAGTCATAAATCTGATACTTGGTGATCATACGTTAAAAATTACAGAAATTATTGAATAAATTCTTATGTTATTCAGATCCTATCAAGCAATTATGAGAAACAGTTTGGACATCCCATCATCTTTTCACCTTCTTGAAATGTATTGTTGCTGCTAGGGAAACATGGATCTAAGTTTTTTTAGGATAGAAATAGATCAGAAAAAGATAGCTCCCCCCCCCAAAAAAAAAACTAATTTTCAGTTAAAAAATCACAGTAATGTTAATGTTGCCTGTTTTCTTCAACTATTGTGGGGTTGTGCATCATGAATTTCTGCCAACTTGCCAAAGAATATTATTTCAATGTTTGCAGCACTGGAAGCTGTTCAGAGAAAACAACCGAAATTGCAGGTAAATAACTCCTGGATTTTGCACTATAATAATCCATCTACTTCACTACAGAAAATTTTGTTCAGGAAATTTTTGGCTAAAGACTCATTTACTCCAGTTCTCTGCTGTGTTGCAAATCAACAATCATTTCTTTAGTCAAATTATAGTTCCATTTTTTTATATCTATTCTCACAGCAATTTGATTCTAAGCCACAGCACCCAACCTTGAAATATGAAAAATTAGGAGTTTCTGGAGCTTTTCATATTGCACAGCAAGACATGAATTCAAAACAGATCCAAACTGACTTAAAATTCACTTTAACACACAATTCAGGTTATTCAATTATTTATAATTTGGTTCTTATATAAAATATATTACTACTTAATTAGATACTCAAAATTTTTAATTTCGAGAGAAAATTTTGGTCTTGTAAAACCTCTTTAATTGAAACACTTTTTAAAATTTTTAATTCCATCACTGTCAATGACTGAGAGAATGTTTTAATACAGAAATTCACTTCAAATTTGGTTACTAATGTATGCCAATTTTCCAGATATGTAAAAAAGTTCCTTATTTAGAAGGGCACTAATGTGATTTAAACTCTTATTTGCTTAGGTCAATGACAACATGAACTTGCTAATAACAACATTAATTTTTACGTACAACTTATGGTGACATGCTCATGAACTTAAATACTCACTAATCTTGATATTTCAAGCCCATCCCTGATTCGAAATTGAAGTACTTTTCCGTTATGCACCAGCCATGCATTTTGGTGGTACTAGTGAAATATGTCTGTGCGTGTCTATGAGTGTATTTAATTATTCTTGTTTACTTGCCCACACAAAGTTCCCAGATGGTCTCGGCATGTGTTTGACTTCTCTTACAAAGGAGCAAAAAACATGGCAGGCGCATAACAGAAAAGTATCAAAATTAATAGCTTTCTTATTTAAAATAAGCAACTATTGAAAATATTAATTAGTTTGATACATAGCAGATTCTTGTCAAATTAATTTATTATAGTAATTATCATCATCATCATTGCAATCATGTCAGAAACCAAAATTTGTTTTTACTACAAGTTTATGGTCAGTAGATAATAATAAAATTAACACAGGCAGACCTGAACAAAATTCTTACTTTATAATCTTTTACTGAAGTGATTCTTAAAAAGTATAAGCATACCAAAGGTTTCTTAGGTTCACACACATCTTAAAGAACTACATTATGAAAAGAGATGATTGAATGAATATTTGAAGAAATTACTCAGAATTTTCAGACAAAGATAAACAAGAAAAAGAGATTTCAAAAGTTTAAATAGAAATAAAAAGTAATTTATAAGAGTACTAAAATAAACTAATTAAAGCAAGATAAATTCATTATAATAAATAAAAATATTAAAAAAAAACAAAAATTACAGAATTAAAATAAATTAGACTTCCAATTCTTTATACATAAGAAGTGTTCACATGAAAGCCTAAAAAAAGGTGCTCAGTCTGCTTATCGTGAGAACTACTCTCACAAATATATTCAACACTGACCATCAATAAAGGAAGGTAAAAAATTATGAAAATTAAGTTTTTTTACATACCATATCTGTAACTTGTTGATTATCAAACTAGATAAAGAGTAATCTGCTTCTTCAAACTTCTGCCGAAAAACTAGCACAAGCTTGGTGGGGGTCTTTGCTAATTTTTATGGTTAACAGGATTTCATAATCAAATAAGATGTTTTAACTTTATGAATATGTCTGCTAATCCTCCCCTTCAAAATCTCACATGATTTAAATGTAAGCTTTGGATAAATAGGTTGATAACAAATAAGATGACTCTTTTACATTTTTAGATAAAAATTCTTCTAATTATTCAGTTCTTCTATTGTAAGTTGCATTTTTTATACGCTCAAGCTATGCAAAATTTTCATGTAACCTTTTCCAAGCTTTACTGACAGCTGAGCTTTAATGCAGTTTTTACATTTTATATGACTATAATTTCTATACTTGATTCTCTCATCAAGTATTATGATAAAAATATTCCTATGCTGTGACTGTAAACCTACATTCAATCTAGGCAGAAACAAATAAAAAAAAACGTTTCTATCACCCCCACACAACACACACTCAAAAAAAAAAAAAAAAAAAATATGTTTTAATTTCCTAAAATCAAAGAATATTACAAACTTCTAAAATAAAAAATATTCAATTTTTAAACATACCTCCAGCAAATGAACCCAAAACAAATCGATATACACTTTCCAATATTTGTATACCAACACCTCTCTCAGCAGGACTCTGAAATAAAAATTAAATGAGTTATTCACAAGTCACATTAATTTATAAAGAAATCATTTTAAAATAAGAAAATATCACTTAGAAATGTATAAATCTAAAAATCTGCAGTTTTTATACCATTTCAAAATTTAAAATCTATGCAATTTTTAATAATTTAAAAACTTTATATGCTCAAGCTATTTTTAATAAAAAGCTTCGAATTTTTAATTTCTTACAAAAATTTTTAATTTCTCATTTTCATGAAAAATTTAAAATGATTTTTTCTCCTTATCTTCATAAAAATTTAACTGTATGATGGGTTCAAGATTCTGAAATAAGTAATTTCGTTCATAGCTTTAAAGCTATGTTAAGTACAACAGATTCTAAGTTTCTTCTTTTTGGACAGTAATGCCCAACCACATACATCTTGTACGATATGCAATTACCTAATAATAGTGTGAATCTAGCAAATGCAGCAATGAGTACATTTATGGATTTTGTATACATGTAAATAACTTTAGTGATTGCAGTATTTTTTGTATAATGTAATATAAAATGCTTGACAGAGAAGAAACTCTCTAGAGGGGGGGGAAAGAAGAAAAATAAGATTACAGGGGTAAGTCTATTTAACATAGAGGTAAATGGCTATCTCACTAAATTGGCAAGTTATTGCCAAGCTGACAAATAGTTTTGGCAACTAATTTTTGTTGCCAAATTTGGCAAGAAATAGCCAAAAGTCTCCAAACTTAGCGAACATTTGGGAACATTTAGATCCAGTCCCTTTATAAGCACAGTTGGTACTGTAATTGATCCCTATATGTAACTGTAATTGTATCCAACCTTATATATAACTTTAACTGTATAAGCTTTCTCGTAATTCCCAGTAATGAAAGGTACTAAATTTTTCTCGGCAGCTGGGGAAAACTATATAAGCCCAAAGAAAGCATCATTTCTCAGTTGTTAGTTCACAGCTGATTTGAGCATTGAGGTATTTGTGAGAGCTTTGCCTTTTAGATGCACTTTGCACTGCATCATATTTAATGTTCTTAGTAGTTTGAAGTGTAACTACTGATTGTGCTCTATGAACTGAGAAGAGCTGTACGAGTACTTTTGCAGAGAGTTCTAGAACTACACTTTCTTTTGGAAAAATAAATTTTATTAATCTATCAGTTTTATGTTCATTCAATCCATTATGAACCTATATGTACACAACAATTTTCGGCATCAGAAGTGGGGTTGAATGCCAGTAACAAGAGAGATAGAAGAGCAACTGAGGCAGCTCTTGACAGCTTTTTGCTGTATTCAAAGGAGAAATGAAAGTGGGCCAAGAAGATATTACAACAGGGCAAAAAACATATGGAAGGGAGCCGTCAAATCAGTTCAAGAGGAAACGAAAAGAGAAATTACCTCCATAATATAAAACAGATTCGAGGATATGGAAGGCAGATTAGACATGTTAAAAATAAAGTTGGAGAAATTGAGAAAAGTTTCTGCTGCTAAACAGCAAATCAAAGAAAGAATTACTGCTGTTGAACAGCAAATCGGAGAAAGTTTCTTCTGTCAAACAACAAACTAAGAGAGTTTCTGCTGTGAAATAACTTATCAATTACAGAATTTCTGCTGTCGCTAAACAAGTTGACAGCTCTATGAAATTCATAGCAACAGCAGGAAGCAATTTTGACAGTTTTAAACATTTACCCGTGCTTTTTCAGCCCTCTCTAAAGCAGTCCATTTATGATGGAAAGACATTCCAGCCAAGTACACAAGACTCAGTGCTCTATAGTGACAGATGTAAATAGATGGGATTCCCAAGCCTGCCATCTCACCACTTTTCTGAGAGTAGATGTAGTGAATATTCTTCAAATTGTGCTAAAAAAACCAGAGGCTAGACTTTAAAGTTCTATTTGCCATGTTGGAGCAGTGCTTAAAAGACTTAAAAGAGCTGTGGTTAAAAGGCGAGAAGTGTTTAAAAGACTATAAAGCAGGCTTCAGTTAAAATCTTGCCACTTAAAGTCCATGGAAACACTCCAGGAGCTTGCCATGAATGTTGAAAGGCCGTCTTATCTCGTCTTTTTTGGACTGCCCATCAATAACAAACAAAATCCTGTCCTTGCATTACTTCATAGATGGCATCCAGGATCCTGAGATATAGAAAGACCAACGAATGCCCCATGTCAAGGATTTAAAGTGCTCTAGTGTATCCCATGAAATTCGAGGCAGCCCAGAAAGCAACTAGTAGAGATCCCATCCAATCAGAGCTTCTCAAGTCCAAGAATTAGTGGATCAAGTGACTGCTCATCTAGGTGATTTAACCAGACAAGTTGATGCCTGGAGAGGGAATAGAAGTGACAAGAAACCAACCGAAAAAAGCTGGAATTGCGGTGCAGAAGATCATGTATGGAGGAACTGCAGAACACCCCAAGGCATAGAAACTAAGACAGCTCCCAGCAAGAAGGAGGGAAACTAATCATTGGCCATCTCGCAGGATAGAGGCTGACTTATAATGAAAAGCACCATTTTAAAGCACTTCAAATTTCTGCAATGAGTGGCGGCAGTAATGGACTCTCTTCACCACTGAACATATAAATAGAGCTCCTTGCAATATGACTATTGATAAAAAAGCCAATTTTATAATTAATAAATTTTAAATAATTTGGAGATCATAAAAGAATTTGCTTAAATATTGTTATTGGTTATTGCCCGAATACCATGGGCTAAACCAGAAAGGAAGACAAAATAGGTTTGGCACTTAAATTTTTAATACCTTTCAGAAATGCTTTCAATAATACACTGTTGCACTGAATAGCCTCCTTAAAAATAACCTGTTATAATTTGGAGCACGCTTTACTTGGACGAAGAGTTGTGGTTACAACATAACAAAAGGCTTCTGATCACCCCCCTTTTTTTAAAGGCCACATACATGGATATATTTGCTATGTTCTGTAAGCCCCAACATAATATAAAGTACCTCGTAACTAAAAAGTAAAATTTAATGCATCCAAACATACATTTAAAAATTAATATGATTTTTGACATTGGGATAAACCTTTTACAAGTTTTGGCAAATATGGTTTGTAATTGTTACTTGCTACTCTTAATACCTCAGTTTAATCGATTTATATGCAAGTTCTTCACATACTCTTTTTTAAATGGAACAATAGACATGTCGACACAAATAACTTGACTTTTCTGCACACATCTGTGCAGTCTTGTATTATTTCAGGTTGTAACTTCCAAGGTTCAGCACATCCCTCTTCTTCATTCTTTTCTTTAAAATTTACTTCTAAACTCATATTTTCTTTATAGTTTGATAAATTCATAAACAACATAGCCCAATAATACCCAATGCAACTAATCATGTTAATACTTTGCTTTCTACATTACATTTTATACAAGCAACAAACTATTCTTGGTTGGTTGGTTTGGTTTGGTAGATTACAGCAAAGCACACTAAGGCTATCAGCCTAAGCGGAAGGATGACCTTCTAAAACAAACTAGCTCATATACACATTACACATGGAGAAAACCATGAAAACGGCTATGCAGCTAGCACGTTCACGTGCACTTCAATCGAAGTCAAAACCACAGCAATTTTCCTACTCAGCCATTGGTTGGCAACTATTCTTGGTATTTTTAAAATCTTAAATTCAGCTCAAATTCTTTGGAAAAAACACTTACTGTACTAATTTTTTTAAACATAACTAAATAGTCAACCATAGCATCTTATTATGCTATGGCCAAATCATGCTCCATTTGTTCTTGTGTTCCTCGAAATAAATACTTAGTTTCCCTTCAAAAGCAGATATTTTATTTGCCAACTGCAAAATAATTTTTCACCCTTAAAGATTTCTTTACACTTACAATTACTGAAACATATTTTAAAGATTTATATCGAAACAAAAAAAAAAAATATCTTCTCCTTTTTCAAATTTTTTCACTAAAGGAAGCATGATTTAAATCCCAATCTAAGATAATTCTGCAGTTTAAAATATCAAATAATTACATATACAACTTACTATGCTGGTTTTAAAAAGATAATTAAATCAATCATATATTAAAGATACAAAAAGTTCATAATATTTCGAAATACTTGTGCCTTTTTAATTTCTAATCTAAAAATTTTTGAAGTACGAGGGCATTTCGAAAAGTAAAGATACACTGTATGCCTGAGGAAAAGAAAAGTTTTGGTGAGCAAGTTGGCAACACAGGTGTTAACCTTGAACCATTAGCTTTCTCCTCGCGATCGTTCGGCATTTCCACCTTGATTCTGGGAGAGTAGGTCATGTTTAAAATGGCTGCGCTGATTCAGAATCCCACCAAACGCAAAGTGCGCTCCGTCATACGTTTTCTTCATGCAAAAGGTCAGCAACCAGCAGATATTCACAAAGAAATTGTTTCTGTTTATGAATCGACAAAATGTAACGAAATGGTGTCATCATTTCTCTGAAGGTAGGACCGATGTTCATGACAAAAGAACAGGTCGGCCATCTGTGATCTCCGATGTCCTTCAGAAAAAGCAATTTGTGCGAATAGACGTCTCAAATTGAAAGAATTGCATCAGATCATACCGGAAGTGTCAATGACAACTCTTTATGAAGTTGTGACTGTCAAGTTAGGGTACAGGAAATTGTGTTAGGGTACAGGCGGCAACCTTTTATGACTGTGGGATACAAAAGCTTGTGCACCGACTTAACAAATGTTTGGATAAAGGGGGTGATTATGTCGAAAAATAATAAATAATCCAGTTAATAAAATGTAACTGAAGTTTTCTAAATAAATTTTTTTTAAGGAATGTGAGCCATTGTATCTTTGTTTTTCGAAATGCCCTCATATTTTAACTTATTTACTTTCTTCTCTTTTATTACATTTCTAAATTCATTTGCTTTAACAAAACAAAACAAAAAAAATTCAATGTCTATTAGTCTATCCATCACTTCCCAATTTGTTAATATATTAAACAATATCCCTTTGAGGAAGAATATCCCTTTGAGGAAGAACTTCCTTTAGCTTTATTCAAATTT